TAATGGTTACTGTTGGCTGGATTAGCAGACGCATCACAGATCAGAAAGGGGCATGCCATTGGGAGGTATATCTCTAGCTGGCACTCTTCCCCTTTGCTGTGGTTCCCAGTCACCAGGAAGGGATCAGCTTTGCTCTACTCCACACTTCTACCATGATGTTACTGAACTGGAGCCGGCTACCCATGGACTGGAATCTTGAAATTGTGAGCCAAAAATAAACCTGCCTTCTTTAATTTCTGGCTATCAAGTAGTTGTCCCAGTAACAGCAATTCTAACTAATAAGCATGGGAGATAAATTGAATAAGATGTATATTTGGAATGGAGAAAGAAGTTAGAAAAATACCTAATACAAAAACTGCTATTTTGAGCCTAAGCTAATATAAAGTCAATGACATTCACAAAGTAGTGATGTACTCGAAACACTTAGACACTGAAAATGGATGATATAAATGGCAACCAAGATAGAGAGACTTTGGTGACTCAGGTTTCTAGTTTGAGAAACTATGTAGATATGATGTCATTCACCTAATTAAAACAGTGAGGCCCGTGTTTGCTCAAGGATAAAAAGGACTCTCAAATTTGAATGTCAGGAGTCTGTTACTTCTGCCCAATAAGGAGCTGGGTGACTATACATGTCTGTAACTTATAAAGTAAATAATGACTTTGCAGTAAAGAAATTAATTTTGGATGGATCACTCAGAACACACAGGCAGTCCAGGCCACAAAGGAGTAAGAAACAAAGGGTGCAGACAACACTGAATGAAAGAGAGAAAGTCATTCCTTTCCATAAACTTTCAGTGAGTGTCTTTGGATTACAAAAGTTGGACACAGCCTTTCATTCAGACCCTGCTTTCCAGGACTTTAGAGTTATAGGACAGTCTTAACAGCAGAAGCAAAAGAAAAAAAAAAAGTTTCTAGAAAAGCAAGAGAGTAGAAATTCAAAGAGTATCAGAAGAGATATCCTAGAAGCCAACGTAAAAACCAGTGTATCCATTGTTACTGAACAGAGGAAGAACAGCCATAAAATTGAGACAATGTGGTCGCTAGTTATCCTGGGCAAGAACAATTTCAGATGGCACAATGAGAAGTCAAACGGCAACATGGAGAGGAGAATGAAAGGTGGAGAAATGGGAACATTGCAAGGACAATTTCTTCTCCATCCGCCGTGCTATTTCTACCATGTGAGCTTTATTTAGATTCCCTCTCCCTGTCTTCTCAGCTTCCTTACTTTCCTTTACCTCTAAAAGTTTCTTCTAAGGGCTGGGGATTTAGCTCAGTGGTGCTGCCACCTGTCTTGCAAGCACAAGGTCCTGAGTTCAATCCCCGGTACCGAAAAAAAAAAAAAAAAGGTAAAAGTTTCTTCTCTACTGACTCTTAAGCACTACTGGTATTTAAATAGACATGTTGCTATATCTTCAACTCTAAAACTTCCGCCTACCTGCACATCTAAAATCATTGGGGAAACAGAAAAATACAAAAAGTAAAAGTTAACTGAAAGAACATTCAGTTATAGGCCAAGTTTATAAATGACCCATGTTGATTAGAGACACAGACTTCAAGTTCTCTATACAAATATAATAGTTTTTCTTATGGTATTAAGTGGATTTTCAAATGCCCTTGTTTAATAGGAATGAGATTTCTGGACAGTTTCCTTCAACTAGTTTGATCACTTATTGCTATATTCTTAAAAGTTCACTACATTATTACAAAAAGCAAAGATCCTCGTTCAATAAATGAAAAAATACTTGATGACAAACATTATTTCTTTGTTATCTTTAAAGTCCCAATCTCCACCAGTTTGGTGGCATAATAGTCATTCAAACTTACCATGAACCAATTTGCTTAAGTTAAAAAATATAGCTCACATAATACTTATCTAATTATTTACATAGTTGATATTCAGCATCAGACTACAAAAATGTCCTAATCAGTATGCCATACATGCAAATGGTTACTGATGAACTGAGACAAAATTCCTCTCAGCTTCTTAGGTCACTAGGCAGGTCCTAAGGGGAATTAACATTACAAACATAGTCTTATACATTTATCCCTTACAGATAGAAATTTCCGTGTGTGAAAATATAAAAATACATTGGGAAGCACTCTCCTGGCCTTAATAAACCCGACAAATTAGAACTTATTTACATTTGCCTCTCAGAACTGCAGATAAAACAAGTATTTCTTTATAAATTTAATTATCACGTGTGAAAAAAAATGAAAAGACTACTTTAGAAGCACTCATAGAATTCTTGTATTACAGAAGAAATAAAATAGAAAAGTAAAAGAAGAAAAATAATAATCTTTATCATTACTGTGTCAGCTTTCTGTCAGTCTGATGAAATAAATACCTGGAAATAACAACTTAAAAGAAGAAAGACTTATTTTGGCTCATGGTTTAAAGGTTCCATCCATGGAATAAGCAAATGCTTATTCAGTGTCCACTGTATGTTGCACTAGGAATACAGAAAAGAATAAGATGAGTCTCTCCTCACAGATATTAGTATGTGTTCATCTCAGGACACCTAATCTGTTCCTACTGTGTTCCTCGCATATATTTTTCAATTTCTACAGAAACTAATCTGATAGTTCTCTAGATCATTTGTGGCTTCAAAATAGATACTATTTCTAGCCACATATTCATATTCATTGTAACTCAATCAAATTAAAGCAAAACAATTTGGAAGTTTTATGGAGCTCAATATAATACAGTTTTACAAGTAAAATATTCTTAGTGTCACCTCATATCAATTAAAGAAATAATGATTTTGGCCCATTCTTCACCTTGGCACAAATAACTGATGCTGGTTCACTGTCACACATATTTGCAAGTGGGAGCCAACAGGAGCATCTACCAAAATGAGGATGAAAAGCATAATCTGGAAGCAGAAAGTATGGGTCCTGAACATTGCCCAGATTTATTAGCATCAATCAAGCTTTGGCTGTTAGGTAGCCAAATAAATTTAGAACTTGGACTACATGAATGTGATAGATGCTGCTTAAAGAATGCAGTGTTTATTAGCCATCGTTCAGAATTTGGCTGTGCCCATACAACATGATACCAAGTCACCCAACAGAATCTGATGGACACACTCTATTTTTCCAAGTGGCACAGCAGTGAAGACTGAAATGCCATGCCAATAAACATTTGTATATAAAATTATAAATAAAGCCAAAGCAAAAGGAAGAACAAGTAAGGGATATACCAAGAAAATTATCACCCCATCCGTAATTTATGTTAATACAAAACATAATAATTAGTGTATCCTGGATCTTTGTAGGAATTATACAGACAGTGCTAAATAACAATTGTACAGTGAGAAAAATAATTTGCTTCAAATTTCTTTTCATCTTTCTTTAGATTAAGAAGTCTTAATTTGTTGACAATAAGGGTTTAACATCTGTAGATCATTTTCTAACTTCCCCTGTAACAAAAAGCAAGCCTGGATTTGGTGGCCCTGGTGAAACAATAACAACTAACTCAATCAAATTGCTTATACTGGTGGTTCTCAAAACTTTAAATTCTTTTACAGTCTTGAAAATTACTCAGGGCTTCCAAAGAATTTCTATTTGTATAAATTAAATACATTATTATTAAAATATTAATTAAACCTAAGAAAATTTTACAGGCCTATTGATTAAAAATTCATTATAATAACAATTTTATTTAAAAACTATGTTCCAAAAACAAAAACGGTGAAAAGAATGGCACTTAAAAATATTTTTTTCAAATCTTTTTAATATCTGGCCTAAAATGATAGTAGAAAATAAAAACAGAAAAGAGGTGAAATTTCATATTTGCTTCCGCATTCAATCATTTGCAATGTGTTGTTTAGTTGACGGACATGAAGAAAATCCAGCTTTATACAGACAGAACTTGAAGAGAGGAGGAGCATTTTAATAGCCTTTCAGATACTAGTGGTTATTCTTTTTTTGATACACCAAAACTTGACAAGAGTTACTTTCTTAATGTTAGTTGCAATGCAGAATCTAAAATGATAATCAATGAATGTTTTGCACTCTATAAACTTATACAAGAATGTACTATTTGGAAAATAATTTTAATACTGTACATCACCAGAATAGGTCTCAAGACAGATCCCCTTCACGATTCCTAGGACCACATGTCCAGAAACAGTGGCTTACACTACACCCCTTTAATGAGAAATTTAAACCAAGTGATGTTAGTTTTCTATTTATAACGAAGACTTGGTTTTTTTAAAGAAAATTTTTGGTTTAAACCATCAACTTAAAAATATACACTAAATAATGGTACAGTGTAGATAATTATGGGAAAAATATGTAGTTTGGAAAACAATAAATGAACAATTACCATTCTGCAAACCTACTCCCTACTCGCATTTTATGGAGGAAGAAACTTCTAGACAGCTTCACCTCAGCTTCCTTTGGTGAAGTCCTGGCTCTGTAAACCAACTCTTCAGAGATGGGGCTCCCAACTAAGTACAACTTGGGCAATACTAACATATCTGATTGGAAAAAGCTTTTATTCCAAATTTTATAAAAATAAAATATCCCTAATAAGGCCCTTCTTCAGGACTATTATTGCAGTATTGAACAAAGCACAGTAAGACCTTCAAATATGTAAATAACCTTCTCTTAAAGCATCTGCATTTTGGTAGGCACAATTTTGACAAGTTAATTGCAAGAGAGTGCACTGAGCAGCAAGGGAGAAATATCATAAGATAATGTGATGGAAACTCAAAGGAGTATGAGATTCCTTCCATTTCAGGGAGTGTCCTTTGAGGCTGAAGGAGCTTCAGCTCGACGGAGATTAGGCGCTGGGGTACTGATTTATAAATGAAGACAGCAAGCTCTGGGCTATTTAAGCCCCCCTCCTCAAAGGTAGCATGGGTGACTAAGTCACCCTCACATTCTCCCTGGGGTAGCGCCCCCGAAGCTGCGGGCCGGAGGGAGCAAGGCGGGTCACAGAAACGGGTCGGCCCCTGTCAGGCCGCAGGGTGGCCATCGAGGCTTCGCCTCACCTGACCGTCCTGACCACGAAGTACACCAGCACCGCGGCGCTCACCACCATCAACACGGACAGGGCTCGCTGTGTCATGGGTTTGTCGCCAGGGCTGGGGCTCACAGCCAGGCCGCCCCCGACGGAGGCTTCCCCAGCCTTGCCCCCGAGATCGTCCGCTGCGAGCCCCGCCCCGGGGCTGCTGCCATTGCCATTGCCCTCTGAGCCATGAAGTCCTGCGACTTCGGCCGGAGCCTGGCCCGGCGACTGCGCCGCGGTGGGACCCGGGGACAGCGGCGGCAGGGTCCGCGGGCCAGAGTCTGGAGGCCCGGGGCCCGGCGCGGCCTCGGCGGCCCGCAGCACGGGCGTGGGCCCGCCCAGTGCGGGCAGCAGCAGGAGCAGCACGGAGGGCAGGAGGCGTCCGAGGCAGCAGCGGCAGTGCCCGGCAGGCATAGTCCCCAGGCCGTCCTCTCACCACGTCGCAGCCGCCTGGCCCGCCACCCTGGCTCCACGAGAGACCATGGGCGCGCTAGGAAAAGTGGCGGCCGGATCCTGAGCTACTGCCTAGGACGGCAGGTGGCAAGAGACAGCAGTGCCTGCCGCGGCGGCGGCGGCGAACCGGAAGTTCGTACATCTCAGCAGCCACTGCTGCTAGGGACTCTTACAGTTGCTAATATGGAGGGGCCCGACGCACTTTGTGACGTCAGACGTTCAGAGAAAACGGCGCACGCATAGTGATGGTGACTAGACTGGCAGGACCATTAGGGACTGTTTGCTACTCTTGAACTTCTGTATTTAATACAAAGGGGAAGGTCTGGGATAGGTGAGAGTGAGAAAGTATTAAAAAAAAGTTATGTGTATCAACTCTTCCCATACGGGAACCATAAAATATATGAAGCTCATAATTTGAATTATTTGATGGAAAACTGCAAAAACACACCTAATCAATAACCAAGACTGATTTAGTACCCCACCGTTTGATGACAAAACAGACTATTTTTGTCTCCAGGCCCCCTGACTTTACTTACATCACTTTAGACAATGTAGAGTTGTAAATTCTTTTTCTGCCCCTTTAAAATCTAAGTCTTTTTATAAAAGGCTCTTGTCAGTTACAGGAACCTGGAAGTCATTCCTTTAAAATGTAAAAAACAATAGTGCCCTATCTCTTAATTTCTGTGGAGGATAGGGCCTTAACCTCTGCGGGTTCCTTCAAGTTGTGAGAAAACTTCCAGTGGTGGAGACAGAAGAAAGTTCAATTATTCTTTTGGGTATAGTCAAGTATTAAGCACAGGTGGCCTTTGATCTGCCTGCCCAAGCACTTGAAACTCTCCAGCTCTTTGTTTCTTTTACTGAAATTGAGCTCAGACTGAGTTCTTGCAGCACTCCCCTATTGCAGAAAGGTAGAAAATGATCAAAGTATTTTTGTGGATGTACAAATCTGCCAAAATAAAACCTATTAGCATAACTAATAAATGAGGAAGAAAAAAATTACATTAGTGTATTTAGTGTTTTCTATGTATCTATAAACTTTATTAATAGTATTACATTGTAAACATATATAGAAAAAACTCAAAATACTACTAAGTGGAAATAGTAACTATATATGGTAGTATATCTGGTAATTAAATTGGCTATGGTAATCATTTCACAGTGTATATGTGAATCAAATCATCGTAGTGCACATCTTGAATGTGTGAAATTTACATTGGTCAGATATACCTCAAAAAAACTAGGGAAGAAAGAGAAAAATATTTAGGCTCAAGCAAAGATAACAGTAATAATCACACTAAGTTTGAATTCTGAAGTGTATGTTATAAATGAAAACTACCATGTGGCCTACATTACAAACTTTCAAGAGGACAATTTTAAATAAGGTGGACAGGATGAGTCTTAGCTGCTTTTGGGAAACTGGAAGATACATTGCTTCAGCCTGATAGAATTGCCAGGAGTAAGCATTTGAATGTTGGCTGAAGAAGCCCAAATGTCAGCTTCCAACTGATATTTATCAATAATAAAATGGCTTGCTTGATTTCCCACCTTCCTTACATAGATCTTTGTCCCAAACCACATATTACAGAAAACTGGTATGTCGTACGGCCACTCTTCCTCGACCTCCCAAGAAAGTCCAGCATTATGTAGCAGACCCCTCTGCCCAGTATTAACAGGCTATAGTGGCACAAGCTTCTTGCCCCTCCACAATTCGGCTGTGTTACATTGGAAGTAGCAGAGCTTGGCTGAGTTCACTCCCAGTCAAGGTCAACTGACTCCAACTGAATTCTTCCCCTCTGAATTAGCCCTTTCTCCCTTTCACCAAAGAGATGCTTGTGCCCTCCTTCTATAGTCCTGCCTGCTTGATACTTGTTATCAGCAGGTGTCCCAAGGCCTTCCCAGCTTGCCCCCTTCCCACACTTGTAATGAGAAAACACTGAATGTCCTGGGAGTTCTTTGTCTTTACTGCCCAGAGCAGCTTTGATCACCCCAAGACTCATTTTCTCAAGTCTGTATCTGTATTTCTTTTAATTCCCACTTTCCTATCTCACAGATATTGTACTGGCTTTCAGGAGGCCAGGACCACTGCAGGGGTCTCTGGCAATGTTGCATTGCTCTTTCCCGATACACTCAACTCAAGGAAAGAGTAGAGAAGGAAAGAAAGAAGGAGAACATGCATCGTCTTTCCTATCTTCCAAAATATGATTTTACCCTTCTATATTTCATCTTTATTAATGGGATATCTTTCCTCCAAGTGCTCAGGCATAAAACTGTGTTTTGCTTGTGCAATTTAAAAAAATACAACTGTGAACATATACTTCTATTTAGAATAGATTTCAGATAGGTACAGAGTTACATGCTTTTAATTCCAGCAGCTTGATAGGCTAAAGCAGGAAGATTGCAAGTTTGAGCCCAGCCTAGGTAACTTAGTGACTAGGAAGACCCTGTCTCAAAATAAAAAAAGAAATAATAAAATGTCTAGGTATGTAGCTTAATATAAAGGCTCTGGGTTTAACCCCAGTACCACACATACACTTAAAAATTAGATTTCAAGTTAGTATAATTGGTTGTTTCTGAATTTTTCTATTAATATATTACACTTTTATTTGTCACTTGAATTATAGTTTGTCCCAAGTACTAAAGATGTAAAATACATAAGAGATAAAAGTTTCTAGAATACATTGTTATCAAATTTCTTAAACTCACTGCATACTGAAAAAAGGCCAATATATTTTATCAAAGACAAAAAAACCCTCAGTCAACCAAACTATCATATTTCATGGAAACATAATTAAAAACCACTGACCTGTTGAATAATATCAGAACTCACTGGCTTTAATTGAATAATGATTGTGAACATGAACTACCTAGTATCTACCAGATTTCATGCTATCAGATAAACAAATGATTAGCTTGTTTCACCTTCAAAAAATACACCATAATTGTTCCTATTTTACAACTGAGGAAACTTCAACATTGGGTAATTGATTTCACCAAAACTCATATGATTAGAAACAATAGAGTTGAATATTGAACTCTGGGAGTCTAGCAGAAAAAGTGGATTATTATATGAGACGTTGTATTCTCCTAATCAAACATTTCTATGATTTAACTCTAGCTTATTTTCTCAATCAACTGTTGACACAAAATGCTATATAACCAATAGCCAAAAACTCTCTGTATTATACAGAAAATAAGAGTTTCTCACATATCTTCCATAAAGCAGATGTTGACTGACCTAAGCTGAAATTGGTTCCAAGCCGCAGGCTTATTTCATGTTTGTGTCCATTGTTTCCTCTCTTATTCTTCTAGAACAAGAGGCCTGTATAGTCAGGATTTTCTCAAGGTTAAGGTCAGACAATCCAAGTGTTTTATAACACTGAGCAGACAATCCAAGTGTTTTATAACAATAAGGAAAAAGAGCAACTTTGATATTAATAGGATTTCATTTTCAGTTCAGTAGAATGGAGGAAAAATTCAGGACATATTCTCTGGTATCAAAATCTCCTTGTATATCCATTAAAGATGAGGATCAGCTATAATGATCATTTATTAGCATACCTATAGAAGGAATCTCATGCTCTTCTACCTTAATTGGCAGAAAACTCCCACTTTGTTATGGCTCACACCTAGATATCCTCCATAGCTTCCTCCAATCATAGGTGAGGCTTTTGGGAGTGACTGGATTATGCTGTATGTTACTGGATCCTGGGTATGTGATAACAGATTAGTCCACTAATTAGCTTTGTGTGGTTTTGGGTGTGGATGATGGATTTACTGAAGAGGGAAGACCCACCCTAGGTATGGGTAGCACCAATCAATAGACTTACAGTCTAGATAGAATAAAAAGGGGAAAAAAAATGAACGCACTGCTGTTCATGCCTGCCATACCATGGACTGTTTTTCCTCTGCTGTACCACTGTGCCTTGATGCCAGTCAACTATGGGCTGAGCCTCTGTTGCAGGATAAAAGAAACAACAGAGACCACTGGGAAACAGGAAGATTTATTTCAGGTTTTAGCTGAATACCGGCTCAGCAGACTAATGTCCAAAGGACAAGTGGAGAACAAAGAAAAGTTTCCAGTTTTTAAACATTTGGTCAAAGTGGGGTGGTCTTTCTAGTGACGTAGCAAGGAGTTTACAGAAACAGGACAAGGACAGGTAGTTTTGTAATTTAACCTTGAAAGGAGATAGTCTTATGAATAACAGAGTGTCATAAACTTTGTTTACAGGACACAGTTTTAGTTTTATCTTTACCAGAAGAAGGAGTTACAGCTACAAGGGAAAGGGGAGGGGTGATTCAGGAGGGAGAAACTGCCCAAGGCTGAGAAGAATTTGTTTTTCTTTAAGTCTTGCTTCACCTCTACAAACTGTGAGATACAATAAACCTTTCCTCCTTTAACTTGTGGGTGTAGTGTATTTTGTCCCAACAACAAGGAAGTAACTAATATACACATCAAGTGACAGAAGTTCAAAAAAAAAAGTTCAACGAGTTCAACAGTCTAGAAAAGAAAATATGAAATTGTCACAAAAAGAACACAAGAGAGTTATTATAAATGATCATATGAAGACAGAATTGTAATGTTAGACAACTAAAGGGCAACAATTCAATAATAAGAAGGAAATAAAAGTTTTCTTTAAGTAGGTAGAGCATAACCAATTAGAAATGTGAATAAATTTTAGAATTCAAAATATCTGTTCAAGAAAAATGTCCATATACATGGGCTGTGATTCTTGAAACAACAGAAAGCCACATAATTTTTTTTTTTTACAGAAACACAACTTCCCAGATGCCCTGCAGCTACTAAGATTTTCAGCAGAATACAGAAGTCTGTCTTATGAGGCGGAGATCAGAGTGTTGGGCTCTTTCAGTGAGTAGAATCTGTGGTACAGGGGATTAAGAGAAGGGAGTCTGTGGAGGTCTTGAAGGCTGGGAGAGTTTCCCACAAGTCTGTGGCTGAGCGTTTGGCAGTTCATCCACAAGTGGCAGACTCACTTTAAGATCCAGCAAGATTCTTAAAGCAAACAGTTTGGAGATTGACTGTCATCAATTTAGAGTGTGGTATCAGAGGGCTGAGAATTTAGAAAACAGATCAATAAGAACTACAGTCTACAGAACAGAGACATAAAGTTATTCCAGAAAAGTGAATGGGAAGATCAAACCCTTGAATTTGTGGACACA